TGACTAACTCCGAACTTTTCATGAAAATTTGCTGAATTTTCGCAAGTTTTGCACAAAGTGTAGGAATTATATTTCTGTTTTTTTGTTGCTGCATAAATCATATTTTTATACGAAATTGGCGGAAAAAAATTAGAATAAAAATTTTGGCATATATTGTGAAAAATTTGCTGTATACTTTGTTTCAGTGCAGTGTATGTATGGTTTTAAATAATATTTATTGGTGATTTGGCGCAAATTATCACCAAGTTTTGAAACTATGATTAGGAATGGAGGAGACTGATCAATTAAGTATAACTATTCAGCGCATCAAACGAATGTTGAAATTAAGTAAACATTCAATCAAAATAATTTGTTCTTAATTCCAGCGGTTAACTTTTTGTGGACCACCCACTTTTATCAATTTTGTACTTGCGCTTTTACTTTTATTTGCGCGAAACAAAAAAACCCTAACTGCTGTAAAGAAAAAAATATTCAGGGCCGTTTTCTCTGAAAAAATTTCGGATAAATTTGAAAAGCTTGTGCGTAAATTATTATGTTTTTCATGCAAAGTACATTCGGGTTTTTGGGATACTTCATTAAGAAATATTTATTTTAAATTTTTGATATAAAATCCAAAGCAATTAAAACTTTAAATTAAACTTAAATCATTTTATGTACATATGTAGATACATATTTGGGTGTAGTTTTCATAGATAATGCTAGTTCTTTTATGAATATTTTAGAAATGCACAAAATCACACATTTTGCGTAACCTTTGTTTTGTAATCTACAATTAATTCGCTAGGTGCCAAAATATTTCAAAAACAACTTCCAAGCATTTATATATTTTTAGACAAACCAAATTGAATCGACTTGGAGTCTACTACTTTTTCTGGCCATGTACTTACTATACTTTTTGACATTAAATGCACCTTCAAAGCATAAATCAATCACAGCTGTAAGGGCTGTGGTCATAAATTCCTCAAGCCAAAGCCTTATTTGCGCAACTAAGTTCCAATTCGGCATTTAACCGTGGCTGCGCATTTCCATCAATTATAGTTAAAAAAAAGAAATTGCTTTGGCTTGATGCATTTCTGAACACAAAACTTTTAATATTAAAAAATCAGTAAAGACCATCATCAGTGTGAGTTTCAACCCCCTTCAATTTGAATCGGCTGGTTAAAATTCACTCGGAAGTGAATCTCAGAACATTACATTTTTATGCAATGCAAACTACATGAAAATGGCTGCCAATTGTTGGTGTTTGAAAATGCTAATGTAATTTATATTCCAGCAAAATTTATGTTGGCGTAATTTGCATTGAAGTTTTACTAAATGGTATTTCAACTTAGAAAATAAAGTATTAAAAATACAAAAAGAATTCCCGTTCCGGGAAAGTATCATAAGTAAACAATTTTTAAATTTTTCTCCCAAAAAAGGAGCAAGCAACAAAATATATTTAGAATTCAGTGAAATGAATCGGTACTATACCGGCTGATAATTTTTCAACTGATTGCTCCGGCCATGTGGTGTAGCTCTCATTCTCAATTTTTTCGTTTTGCATTTAAAGTAACAGTTTTTGATTAATCCAGCCCGTGACCCTCCGCATGGCATCACCCTAATATGAGTAAAGTCGTAATTTTAGTTAATAATTATAATTTTCTAAGGATAAGCTGATCAAATCAGACAAGTTATTTTGCCAGAATTTATTTCGTTTTATGTCACATATTTAGCTCAAAACATTTAAATTCATTAAAAAGAAAATGTATAACAAATTATGGTTTCAATTCGAGTGGTGAATAGGTGTACAAAATTGTAAAAATAAAGATTATTATATAAAATGCAACGTACGTTTACGTTATGTTTAGCCTAAATTAATAACTTTAGTAGCAATTAATGATTTTCATTCGTACAGTATTCCACAAAAGTTTACGTACATTCAACTTTATTAGAAAATAACTTTGTTGTTCATCCACTTCTCTTTCCCGAAGTTTTTAAAATAATATCCTAATACAAAAAAAAGATAGAAACAAAAGTACATACATACATATACCAGTCCCCAAAACTCTGCGTACACTAAAAATCGTCAACTTGTTAGTTTTTTGAAAAGCCTGTCCGGCATAGACCTTTTGACCTTTCTGCTAATAACCGTGCCAATACGCGTTGATGTTTCCGTTCCTATGTCATTGTCATTTTTATCGTCGCTTCGTATTTAACTACGATTTCTTAAAATATATTGAAACAACGAAGATTAGTTAAGGACAATCATTTTAATTTAGTTCTTAACAATGCGATAACGAATGTTTCTATGTCGTTACTATCTCCGTTTCAAAATGGAGAATACCGCTAAATTTCCGATAAATGTCGATTTTTTGGACTGCAGCTTCACTTGAGTACATACGAGTACACAGCCTTAAATTATTGAGACTTCAACTGTCATAATTGACAGCTTAAGGGCCCTCATGCCCCCTCCAAAAGTGCTGGTGTTCATCTGAACCGAATATGATGTTTATAAACTCAACGAAGAAGATATACACCATGATAAAAATATAGTAAGGTAGAACCGCTGAGAGTTACTTTTAAAATTCTTGACGTTTCTAAACATTTTAATTTTTAAATTTACTCACAAACTCACACACACATTTTCATTTTCAATCTCAAGCAACAACAATTTCGAACAATTTCAATTTTTTATTTTCAATTTTATATGATTTTAAATTGCTGGCAAACTTCAAAAGAAAAATCATGGCCGACAAAATGAGAGAACGGTTCTACCTTGCTATGTTTTTATCATGATATACACCCCTATTGCCAGTGTCGACTAGTAGCAGATAAACTACTATTATTATTCGATTATCGCTTTTCCATGATATTGTGGATGTCGATATATCGATCACGGCTTTGATTATAAGAGCGGCTGCAAAAGGCTAATTGCGCAATTTCTGTGAACGATTTCACATGTGCTGCGCGTAAGTTAATAAAAAGTTTTCCTTCTGATGAAAGCAATACCTTTCAGGCATCTTTATTAATAAAAGCGTATTTAAATTTAATTTAAATTGCTGTGTGAAAATGGGTTTGATATAAAAATAAATCAATGACGAGTAAACTAACGGACTATTAATTAGCTGTACAAGGATCTTTGTGTAAATTTTTAAAATTAATTTAAAATCTGCTAGTACCATATATGTATGGTCAAGGCAATTTATTGCTGTGAGTATATGATAAAATATCTGTATTTATAAAATTTTTAGAATAATTTCTATCTGACCCTCATATATTATTATTGTTGTACGACGACTTTTGTGGAACACTGTATGTACGTATGTAAGTACAATATACAAGTATGTCGCGAGCTTTGTAGCAGTAATACATACACACCTGAATGAAAGCAACGGAAAATTTCACAGATTTGTATACATACATATGTATGAAGTGTATGTGAATTGCCTATTATCCGGCGACCGGAACATGTGAAACGAGTATCAACGCTTTCAAATAAGGCGGGGCGGTTACAAATATTTTGTGCCGGGGAAACAGGCAATAGGGTTCCAGTAGCCGGAACATGTCAAACGACCCCAACAGTTGAAAAACTGCATCCAACTAAAAGGGTAGCAAAAAAAGACAATCGTGTTCCTAAAAAGTAAGCCCCTTCATACAATGCTATGTTTATGTACGAATATGTAATAATAATATGCGTAATATTAATATTTTTAATTTTAGCATTTAGTTAAATTTTGCTCCCTTAATTTTTCTGTAGTTAATACATTAGATCTTAAAAATGTCTATAGCACTCGTACCCACATACACACGCACAGCTCTAGTTCTCAACATTTTCCGCTTAATTGTGTTTATATGTACGCAAGCATGGTTATTTGTGTAATTTCATCGTGTTTTTTAAACTAGTAAGCTAGTTTTTTTTTTTTGCATTTATGAATTATGTTTTAAATACAGTAAGTTTTGTAGCAGTCGGTCCAGTTACAAGAACCCTTTCTTTAAACAACATATGTATATTCAGCTTCTCAATGTTCGTTTAAACGCAAAATTCTTTCAAACTTTTAATGCTCCTGATTTAGTTTTATTTAAACTTACATAGCGGTATTCTTTAGTTTCGAAATAACAACGATCCAAATCGCACTTTTCACTAAATGCATGTGTGTATGACATTTTCCTTACTTGAAAATAGATTGTACATAATTATTTCTTACTGTATCGTCGATGCGCGGGATTCGAGATTTTTAAATATTTCAACATTTTTAGTTTATGTGAAACTGTGGATAACTGCTCAATTGTATTTATTTTGCATTTATAAGTACCACTATTTTTTACGCGAGATATTTATCTTATTGTAGAAAAACTGTATTTTATGTTAAAAGAATAAACCCAATCAATAGACAAGGTTGCATAGAAGCTGTCGAAGAATTATTTTTTTTAATTGCATACCAAAACCAATTTATAATGGCATACAGATGTACATATGTAAATAAAAACCACTGCCAACTGGCCAATAAAGAGAAGCACGTGTTTAACGGTGAGTTTGAAACCTAGTGAATGGCATGGCATATTAATATTAAACAAATAGTTTGTTAAACGCAGTTGAGTGTTTTAGCAAATGCGCCTGCGCTTTAATTGCGTCGCCAACTATACAATACTGAATACATAGTACGTAGAATGTCTACAGGATGCACAGTTTTCCTATTAGAGCACAGAGTTGCTGGTTAAATGTAGAATTAGTAGTATCATTATAATGTGAAAGACTCGCTGTACTACAGTTAGGTAACAATTTCTAGCATTTCATCTCTATTTTATTTGCATTTTCATCCTCCTCATATACTTGTATTAATTATTTTATTTAGTTTTTTTTTTTTTTTTTTAATTGTAAAATAATAGGTATTTTATATTCATAATATAATATTAATATTTATGCTTTTCATACGCTTTCCTTTTGTTTATGTAATACCACGATCCCAATTGTAAGTGTTTTGCCTTTCATCTACATTCCGTTGCTCTTAACTCCGACATCGTTTTTTTATTTTATTTTATAATCAACATTTTAGCTTCTACATAGTTCTGTCGTCTGTTATCATTGGTAATGACGCCGGATATTATGGTGGTGAAACGCTTTTGTTTTGATCATGTTGGTGTAGTTTTTTTTTTTAATTGTTGGTTTATTTTTGTTTTTTTCTTTATTTCGATAGGGACTCCAAGTTTACTTAATAATATGCTCACGCCCCATTGTGGCTTACACTGGGTTGTAGGCGCACAAATGCAAGTTTTTTCTCCTTTCTTTTTACTTACATACGCATTATTTTTTACGGTTTAACACCACCCTATGCTATTATTAAGCTTGTTTGTTTGTTTAATTTTCCCCATTCTTTTTCGCCTCATCGTTTAGTTTTCTGTTTTTTCCGCTTTTACTTTGGCAAATGCATTCGTACCACTGGCGTTCAAAGAAGTACTGCCGCTTTGTGCACCGCCGCTAAGTAAGGCAGGATTGTTGTCACCAGAACCACCGCTGCTTTCACTTTTTGCCATGCTAGCATTCGATTGTTGCTGCTGATAAGAGGTGATGGTTTGTTGCGAGCCAGCGGCACTGCCGCCACTTCCACCAGCTCCTAGCACCGAATTAGCCGCTGCCGTGCCAACGGCACTGCCGCTTTTTGCACGATTTATTTCTAATTCATGTAACTTCTTCCATAATTCTTCACGATCTCGCTCGCGCTTTTTCTCTCTGCAAGCAAAAATTAGTATAGTACAATCAAAAAATAGATATATAATAAGAAATTGGGAAAATGCTGTCTTTGATTGCGGAATACTTTAATATATTCAATTTCAAAATATCTTGGCTACATAAACGGAGCAATTGTAGTCAATCATCCGATTCATAACAGGCGGACGATTCCATAAACAGACGGACATCACTCATCAAAGTTATAAGAATATTTCACCGTCATGAAATGTATAAAAAATGCAGGAATGCAGGCAGCAAACTTACTTTTGTCTCTCAGCTTTATAGCTGGCTGTTAGTTCATCAAAAAGTTTCGAGTTCATTTCCATGAATGTCTTTAGCACGTTATAAACCAAGGCAACGATCGTTTGATTCCAATGTTCTTTACTAATTCTGTACAGCGCCGGAAACATAATCGGCATAATAACGGCGTTATTCTCCTCTATCAATGACATTGCATATTCATTATTCCAAAGGAAAAGCGCACGCTCAGCAACCTAAAATATGAAGAAAATATTATATTGGATTCGATTTGAAATTCAGAATATCGAGGTGATGTATGCACATACTTGAAAATGCGGACTTGACACACATTTGGCGATCTGACGAAATAATGGCTCCTGTATTTTCACAAATTGCGGGGGATCAATAACATCTAATATCTCTTCGATCTCTCCCAAGAACATAACTTCTTTTTGCGAACATGTTTTTGGCCAAAACTTCAATAATCCACGTACTACCGGTTCGGTAAGGTATGGATCCTTTTCAAGAAACTGTACGATGCAGTATGCCAGTTGAGCGTGATATAACCCGAGGCATTTCACTTTGTGCAGAGGCAATAGCACCTTCACAAGAAACTGTTTATGCTCGGCCTTTAGGGGCAAGGCAAAACCATTAATGATGCTGTAAATAAATATATACAAGCATTAACTTGACTACCAATCTTTTTGATGATGTTGTTGAACTGATATATTACCTGCCCAATATTTCTAGCAATTCGCCGACGCCATTAAAATGCTCTGTTTCGTAAATAAAACGCAAAAAAATATTATTAATTTGTTTTCGTATAAAAGCGCGTAATCCTAAGAATTTTCCATAGATGCGATGTAAAACGGTTTTCAAGAAATCGCGTTCACGTGGATCCTCGGAATCGAAGAGCTCCAAAAGCTGTTTTTCAATGGAAGAAAGAAATAAGTAGATATATATTTTAGATTTTGTATGAGAAAAAATTTGTGAGCGCATATCGACTGCTGAGTGGAACCTATCTATGTCGGGAGCCAATTCGAAAACGCGCTATCTCAAAAAACTGTTTGAACGACGCCCTATTTTAGAAATTGGTTAAAGAACGCCCTATTTCAGAATTCGTTTCAAAAACTTCCTATCCCAGCTGCCGATTCAAAAACGCCCTATAACAACATATTTTCAATACATTTTTATGTGAGATAGGGCGTTTTTGAACCGAATTTTGAGATAGTGTCCGGCATGTGGAGAATCCTATCATGACACCTACCACCTCTTCACATGTCAGCTCAATCCGACTCAACTGACACCCCGCCCCCTTTGGTCCGACCCCATTGAAATAGCTCGTTTCCTGGGCCTTCCGTTAGTTGAGCTTGACGACAATGATTGAGTGTTGACCCGAAATAGGCGGAGCTTAGCAGTGCCGCTACAACCGACGCCATTGAAATAGCTCGTTTCCTGGGCCTTCCGTTAGTTGAGCTTGACGACAATGATTGAGTGTTGACCCGAAATAGGCGGAGCTTAGCAGTGCCGCTACAACCGACGCCATTGAAATAGCTCGTTTCCTGGGCCTTCCGTTAGTTGAGCTTGACGACAATGATTGACAATGGTTGACCCGAAATAGGCGGGGCTTAGTACTGCCGCTACAACAACAAAAACAACAACAACATAAAGCGTTCTTCAACCAAATTCTGCGATAGGGTGTTTTTCTTGTAAAGTTTTTTGAGATAGGACTTTTTTTAACTGGCTGCCGAGATAGGGCGATCTTTCACTCAGCAGTCTTTCTTCCCATCGAATAGGAGACATGACAATATAAAAATTAATTTAATTAAATACTTCATATAGGATTTTTATTGTAATTAGTTGGCAAAAAGTGACATTTAAGCTCACCTGCAAAACGAATTTCTGATCAATAACACGTTTGCCTATGGTCGCTTGAAAGTCTTGCGATTCCAAGAAACGCAGAAAAACTTCATAGACTAACTGCAAATGTGGCCACGAGGCTTCAAGTGTCGGGTCATCTTCTTCTGGATCAAAGTCGGGATTTTCACTGGGGGGCAGTGTGCGGAACAAATTACATGAAATCTGAAAACCAAAAAAAAATCACTTTGCTTTAATTCACATCCAATACAGCCTTTCCTGGTGCTCACCATTCGTATAATCTCTGGATACACAGGTTCCGTGAGCACGCCTCTACCATGTGTAATGTAATTGGAGAGGTCATTTAATGCAGCTCTCTTAATTTCTTTCCCCTTTAAATCCGTTACTGGATCCATAAAGTCAAAAGATACACAGCACTGACGTAACTTGCGAATGAATAGTTCTTCTTGTTCCAAACTCGAGCAATCGGCTAAAAAGTGATTTAATGTTAATTACTTCATCTCTTGATGCTACCAAAAGCCAAATGCAGATATATTAAATATTTATATGTATGTATGTAGATGGTTTGCGGCAAAGATCATAGCACGCAGCTAACACAAAATATGGAAAAACATCGTTTGAAATTTGTAAAATTACTAATTCGAACCGCTTTAGTTCTTACGGCGAAACACAGATATCACATATAACTTTTGGGTTCAGATGGCAGACGGTTCAGGCGTGTGGCACAGGGGACAAATTCACATTCTTCTATAGAGACTTAAAAAATTAAAATACATTTTTTTTCATCTACTACTCAAAATCGATACTACCGTAGTCGAAGATATCACATATAAATTTTGGTCCCGATTAGAGTCGGTTAAGGCGTGTCGCAAAGAGGTCAACGGCCAGAAACCTCTATGGAAACTCAAAAAAAATTAAAAATATATATATTTTTTAATTAATACCCAAAATCTATACTAAATAAAAATATAAAGTTGGTTGAGAGGTTTTAATGGGGTAATCTGAAGTTTGACCCCTGTGCGACACGCCTTAACCGACTCCAATCGGGGCCAAAATTTGTATGTGATATCTTCGACTAAAGTAGTATCAATTTTGTGTATTAAGCGCAAAAAAATAATTTTAATTTTTTGAGTCTCCATAGAGGAATCTGAACTTTGCCCCCTGTGCGACACGCCTTAACCCTCTCCAATCGGAAGCTACATTTATATGTGATATCTTCGACTATAGTAGCATCGTAGTAGGGGTTGAGGCTTAGGAAATCTGATGTAAAAATTTGTTTCCTACATTTAAGGATCACCATAATGTACATACATACATAAATATGCTTGAAATAAATTTACCTTTTAAGGGCGGCAGCTGTTGCAGCTCCACATCCTGAGAATTTCTATAACGCGAGGAACCCTGACTTTTTTTACTTTTCTTTTTTAACGAGCGTTTAGCAAATGGATCAATTCGATCAACAAATGTTCCCGATGACATTTTCTTGCTTTATATATTTTCCAGTTGTATTTTTTATGTCCACCTCTCGTGCGAATTGGTTTTAGATAAAATAATTTCAAGCAGAAGATTCTGATGGGCGTCACTTCTAATAGTTTAGAGATTTAAGCGTTCTATAACGATGTCATATACACATCTACCTACACGATATACATATGTATGTAGCAGCGAATTACGTAGAATTCCTTTTTGCAGGTTGCTCGATTTAACTGCCGTGTTATAAAATGTATTTCAAACCCGAATTGATGACCCGCGTAGTATTAGATGTTCTTGTGTTGTATGTATATCTTTGTATCAAATTAATTTTCTTTTCTTTGTTGTTGAAATGCCTCTTGGTAAGGTGAATTCTGCTGTAATCAACTTATAAGCATGCAGATATCTTAATACGCCATTAACTCTATTTTTTGAACTACCATTCGTTGAATTTATAATCTTCTCAAATCTAATAAATTTTAATTTTCTCAAATCTTATACATTTTATAAATTCGAGTTCTGGAGAGTAATTTCAACCAACATTGATTAGTGTAGAGCACAAACTGTAAGCTTTAGTTATGGATAAGTAAGTATATTAGATGAGACAGAGATTATCTGAATATAAATAAATAAAAGGAGATTCAGTGGTAGTAATTAAATGTTTCCAAAGTTTATAAGATTACCTTAATAGTGGTGCAAATGGTGTTATTAATATAACTGCCTTTTTGATAATTTTGTTGTTCGACGCTGTTAAGTGGAGGGAATTCTTCTGTTGCGTATCCTTAGCTTTTTGGTATCTAATACTTTACTTAAGCATCTACGTTAAATACACACATAATAAATGTTGGGAATAGTGTGAACCTTATCTCCAGATGAAATGGCACATTGAATGCAGTTCTATTGAAGTTTTATACTAATTTATTGTATTGATTATTTTAATATTTTATTTTGTGTTTTACGTCCAATTTCTGTTGCTTGTTTGTCAATTCGATTATTGTTTGGACACACGTTTACCTAGAATAATTGCGAGTTACTTAATTGATACACTATTAATATACGTTATTACATATTTTTTGCATTACTCACTTGACAGTAACAGGTTTCAACAGCCCGTGTGTCCCTGTGGTATTGAAATTTGCTTTTCGCAAGGTCAACACAACTTTATTGCCGACATTGTATTGTAAATTATCGAACCAGAGAACAATATCGATATCCTTTTCAGCTAACCAGAGCAATGGAAACCATTATTTCATCACAGCTCACTAAAAAAAAAAAAAGAATATTAAATAGAAAATTTATCGATGTGCTAAAAATTGTGGTATTGCTTAAAAGTTGAACTATTTTATGACATTGGACGTCCGGCTATACTTTAAATGCTTCTTTCTCTAACTCGAAGCAATGAATAGTAGAAATAATATAAAAAGGGTACTCATCAAACCTTATAAATGCATTGTAAACCGTATAAACTTATAATTGTGTAAGCCTTATAAGCAGGGGCGTGAACCGTTCCCACGACAGTCGGGTCTACGTAACCGGAACGACCCAGATTTATATCTGGCCAAGGACTGTCACTCCAGCANAGATTTATATCTGGCCAAGGACTGTCACTCCAGCAACACTCCCCAAAAAGTCTTTGGGGAATTTGTATGCTGCTACAACAACAACAACAACAACCGGTTTTGAACAGGAAAACCGCTTTTTATACCCGAGCGCACTTGTGCACAAGGG